AGCCCAGGCTGGCCTCGAACTCACAGAGATCCGCCTGCCTCTGCCTCCCGAGTGCTGGGATTAAAGGCGTGCGCCACCACCGCCCGGCTATATTTCTTTTTTTAATTAAAAATGGTTTATTATGTGTTGTTCAAGATATAACACAAATCTTAAAAGGCCTTATTAATAAAAAACCTGGAGCCAGATATTGGGATAAAAGCTGAGAGATCAGAGGAATAGAACAAAACAGCCACAAGTTCTTAATGCTAGGAAATCCTCGGCCCAAGAGAAAGCTACTTCCTGTATACTCATACCTATAAACCTTTCTGTGCCCTGCCATCTTACTTCCCCTTTCCACCCAGCTACATCATTTCCCCTTTCTGCCCAGCTCTATCACTTCCTGTCTGTCTATACAGACCTCCAGACCTCTATGGTTAACTAGTGCTGGGATTAAAGGTGTGTGCTACCACTGCCTAACCTCTATGTTTAATATAGTGGCTGGCTTGTTCTTTGATCCCCAGGCAAGCTTTACTTGTTTGAGGACAAATAAAATATCACCAAAATTATGTATTTTTTAAAATTATTCTCTCATATATTACATCCTAACTGCAGTTTCCCCTTCCTCCTCTCCAACCTCCCCACTCCCACAGATCTACTTCTCCTTTCTCTTCAGAAAAGGGCAGGCCTCCAAGAGATATCAACCAAACATGGCATATTACATTATAATAACAAGACTAGGCACATCCCCTCATATTAAGGCTGGACAAGGCAACCCAGTAGGAAGGAAAAGGTCCGCTGTGTTTCTTAAAGTGGATAAAAATTACAAGCAAATTTTGTAAACATTAATTTTGTATTTGAGTCTTAGCACTTAAAACCAACCCTTTATTTATTTTAAAATGACAAATCTTACCTCGTCTGATTAATTCTTTTCCTTCATCAACTAGATCTGATGTCATATCATTATCTCCCATGAACTGCTGGAAACCAAGCAGATTCAAACAACGGGTTCCCAAACTAATGAAAGCAGATTTCAAAACGTAAGTATTATTTCACTTAGTAATTATTTTGAGAAATTGTTCTTTACCATTGTCATAGAAACATGATTATTAGTTAGCATATCAAATTGCATAGTAATGCAGTTAGTCATTCTTCACAAGTTCTTTCTTTCTCTTTCTTTTAAAAATGCTTATGTCCAGCCTTGGATGAAGTTTCATGCCTATAATCACAATATTTGGTGGACTGAGGCAGAAGGATTGTTATGAGTTTAAGGCCAACTGAGGCTACAGTGAAACTTTGTCTCAAAACAATACAAAACAAATTTTATGTTGCATATTTCACTCACTAGAGTAAGACTTCTTATATTTGTATAGATGTAAACTGGCCTAACTATCAGCACATCTTTAGAAAATAATTATACCAGAATGCTAAGCAATGGCTACAATAAAATCAACTTGTTCTTTTTAAAATATCCAAGGAGTAGTTATAATACTAAAAAGTACATATAAAAATCAGCATTTCTTCTGGGCGGTGGTGGCACACATCTTTAATCCCAGCACTCGGGAGGCAGAGGCAAGTGGATCTCGGTGAGTTTGAGGCCAGCCTGGTCTACAGAGCAAGATCTAGGAAAGGCGCAAAGCTACACAAAGAAACCCTGTCTTGAAAAACAAAAACAAACAAACAAAAAAATCAGCATTTCCACATATAGAGATTTCTTGTTTAGAGAAGCTTTTGGTTTCTGAGACATGGTGCTACTCTGAAGTTCAGGCTGTCCTAGAATTCATTATATGGACGAGGCTGGCCTCAAACTCATGGTGACCCTCTTCCCTCAGTCTCTCAAGTGCTATGATTACAAGCTTGAGACACCCCGCTTGGCTTAGAAAAATCTCAATTATACAAATTTGAATGTTATGCTTTGTTTTCCCTCAAGAATGAAACAGTTTCTCCTATATACTGTAAATGATCATTATATCCTATCTGTAGGCTAATTACTTAAAATGTTAGTTGGTATTTTAATTTGACTGTCATATAGGATAAAAGTAATTTAAAAACATGGCACACAGGGAGGAAGCAAGAAATAGCTAGGCAGGATTCATACTGCTAAGATCCTACTGTGGATCAGACAATTCACTCATATTTAATTCTAACCTCTTGCATAACCCTAATAAATAAATATTTATCCCTTATATGTATAGAAACACATCTGAAGGGCTGGAGAAAGATTTGTGTGTGAAGAAAGGATGTAGCAGGAATCTTAAAGAGTCTTTATTAATAAAACAAACCTGAGCCAGAGATTGGGGTGAACTGGAAGATCAGAGAGACAGAATAAGCCACAGCTAACCTCACCTGGCCTTGTTTCCTCAGACTGGAAGCTTCTGTGTCCTCATCCCAATGGGTCTCAGCTGAACTGTGCTTCTCAACAGCCTGAATGCTTAACCAGACCAAATGCTTAACCAGACCAAATGCTTCTAGTTTCTGGTCCTCATGCCTTATATATCTTTCTGCTTTCTGCCTCACTCCCTGGGATTAAAGGCGCAAGCCACCATGCTTGGCTGTATCCTTGAACACATGTATTTCTGCCTCTGGAATGCTAGGATTAAAGGCATGTGCTACCACTGCCTATCCTCTATGTTTACTATTGTGGATGTTCTGTCTCTGACCCCAGATAAGTTTATTAGGGTGCACAATATTTTGGGGAACACAATACCACCTCAAGAGTAAAACAGCTGTTAAAGTGAAAATCTCTGATTCATACTAAGAAATGTGTAAATACCTGGCTAGCTCAGAATGCATGTTATATAAGAATGTATGTATGTATGTATGTATGTATGTATGTATGTCTGTCTTTGAGTAAAGCTCCTCCTTTTGTTGAAACAAACTCACATTAGCACATTAACATCACTATGTAGCTCAGGTTGCTCTCAAAAGGCAGGATCTTCCTGATGCCCCTTTACAACATACACCACACCACCATTCCCAGCTTAGAAGAAACCTTTAATGCATTTTCTTCTTTTGTGATGTGTGTGTGTGTGTGTGTGTGTGTACGTGTGCGCGCGCACTGAGAATCAAATCTAAGGTGCTGGGCATTCTATGCAATAAGTCATTGCGCTACATCTACATATCCAGCCCCATAATGATTATTTTTCAACAATCTTCTTTCTGATTTCTTATATTAGGATTTTATATTTGACAAAACATTATCCTAATTTATATTATTTTGAGCCATAGAACCATTTAATCTCAAAATGCTATAATATTCTCAATATGACAACTAACATGAAAAGATGTACTTAAGTTCATGATGTTCCATTAACACTTATAAAACTTTTAATGAGAAAACATAGAATCAAAATAGCATTAAACATATAAAGTCTGCTATTGTTTTTTCTACCTTTAAGGCAAAACTCAAAACAATAGTTTTAGAGTCAGCTTGTATTAGTATTTTTTTTTTTTTTTTTTTTTTTTTTTTTTTTTT